ATTTATGGTGTACTTAATGTGTGTCAGAAATGTTCTAAGTCCTTCTCACGTACTAATTTATTACTTTTTTTAAAGATTTTATTTATTTATTTTTAGACAGAGAGGAAGGGGGTGGAAATAGAGGGAGAGAAACATTGGTTGGTTGCCTCTTGCACACGCCCAAACTGGGGGCATGTGCCCAGACTGGAAATCAAACTGGACAGTTTTGCTTTGTGGAATGACACCCAACAAACTAAACCACATTGGTCAGGGCTAATTTATTAATTTTTAAAGTAACTCTATGAGGTAGGTATTATTATTATATAATCCTCATTTTACAGAAAAGAAAACTGAGGCAAGCAAAGTTAACCAACTTTCCCAAAGTCTCATAGTTGGTAAAAGGAGCCAGGCTTAAAACCCAGGTATCAGACTTAACCATTCATTTGTGCTACTTCTATACTGAAGTAGCACAAATGGATGCTACTTCATTTGGATAGCACATCTTGGTAAGATGTACAGATCCTATAGGAATAACAAAGCTTAACTGAGGGACATAAAAGAAGATTTATTACATTGAAAACCAAACTATATTCCTGGAAGAAATACTCCATGCAAACTTTTCTTCCTTCCCACCACTACTAGATTAATTTGTAAATTGAATCAAATTTCAATTAAGATGTCAGAGAGTTTTCTAGAACCAATCAAAAAAAGTTTTAAATATAAAAATCAACATGTGAAAAAATATTCAAAGAAAACAGTAATAAAAGACTATCTGGTCTATCAGATAATAAGCTGTTCTATTAAGGTATTATAATTAAGAAGGAATGATACCATGAGAAGTATAGAAGCTCTATCAAGGAAATAAGACACCTACAAGTAGACCCAGGTCAGAATGAGGTATATGACAAAGGCTACATTTCAAATCTGTGGAAAAATTAATTATTCAATAAACATTGCTAACATAATAAATTATTAAATCACTTGGGATAAGAATTAAGATGGATCCTTACTTTACACTTAATACAAAAAAAAAAAAGAACCTTAGGGATACTGTTAAGTGTAAAAAATGAAGCCATAACAAAGCTAGAAAAGAATACGTGAGGTTTAGGGGAGGTCTGTCTACTTGTTTGCTTGTTGGTCATTTATTTTTGGAACCAAGGATTAAGGAAGGATTTTCAAATCACAATACAAAAGGGAATAAAAAGATGCTTGGTAGTTTGGGATCCATAAATATGAATAGCCATTTTCCTCAAATAAAATTTTGCCAGCTGCCTCATTATAAAACAGATAAAAGCAGAGATATTTGGACTGACAACAAATGGACCCTGAAGCCCTCCCTGTAGTGTAGTGCCTGAGACATCTCCACAGCACCCTAAGGGCAGAACAGAAACATCTTCGTTGGTTAAAGTGCAGATTCCTGGGCTCCATCTCATACCTACAGAATTAGAAACATTGGAGCTAAGACTCTAGACTCTGCATTTTTAACAAAATCCCTATTAATATCCATCATTCTCAAGTTTGAGGGTTATAATACTGTGATGAGCTCTACGGAACACCACTTATAATGAAGAACACAATCCAGAATCAAGGAATAGTTTCATGAGCAAGGGGGTCCTTATAACCCCTCAAAATCTTCCCAAAACCTTCCCTCGGGAAAGGACAGCCCAAAGACTGGGAAGCGTATGACTAGAGATGAAGAGGTTAAGCACTAACTTGATAGCACTCATGTAAGTAGCAAAAGAACAATAATGTGGTATATTTAACACTGTATTCTACAAGCTAAGGATAAACTAAAACAGAATAGCTGGTAATAAGCAATAAAAATTGCCTGAGATAGCCAAAATATTAGAAATACTAAACCAAGTGGTAGAAGAGATAACTTAAACTTATGTCAGCAACAGAAACACCCTATTTGTGCTGAAACACCTTCTACATTCTATAAGAGTTGCTTCAAATAGATATTTCACATGTTTTTAATATTTGTCATCTTTATAATTTCACAAATATCTTCTCAATATAAGAATGCAACTATATTCAAATATTTTAATGCAAAGTGAAGGTGTCTCAGAATGCCTTCAAAGAAAACCCCCATGAAGTTTGTGTATGTTTCTGATTGTTTTTCTATAGTATACAGATAATGTACTTTCTTACACTTACTATAATTCATAAAATGAGAACACACTATAAAACTGTTATATTAATTTAACAATATCACATGGATATCTTTCCACTTTGATACATGGTAGTTACATCTTCAGAGGAATAAAAATATGCCACTCTAAATTATGCCACTTTGAAATAAGGATAATTTTGAGCTGAAGGCAAGTAAGAAATAGCAAGTAGGCTTCCAGGCAAGATGGTAGCATAAGTAAACACAGCTCACCTCCTTGCAAAACCACATCAAAGTTACAACTAAAATATAGAACAACCATCACTCAGAACTATCATAAATCAAGTTGAATGGAAGTCTGACAACTACAGAATGAAAGAAACCACATCTGTCCAGACTGGTAGAAGGGGCAGAGACGTGGAATGGGCTGGTTCAACATCCACATGTGGTGGATAAAAATTCAGGAGGGGTATCTTGGGAGTGAGGAGTCTCAGCCCCACAACAGGCCCCCCAAACTCAAGGTTGCAGTGCCAGGAAATAACTCCCCATAACTTCTGGTTGCAAAAACCAATGGGGATTGAGTCAATAAAAGAAACTCTGGAGTATGAGCAGTTCCCCTTAAAGAACCCACACACAGACTTACACAGATGCACTCTCTCTGAGTTCCAACAGTGGGGTAGCAGCTTGAAAAATACCAGTGGCACACAAGGAGGAACTGAAGTGCCTGGCTTCAATGTGGGAGCTTGGAGACAGCTTTCTCCCAAACAGAATGGTGGGCAGAGGCCATTGTCACTTTCTTGAGCCCTCCCTCCATGGAGCCACAGAGCCACCAGGTGCCATATCTGAGATTCCATCAGCCTGGCTAATGCTGTTGGCCCCAAAATGGAGATCCCCTGAGACTTCCTCCTACCCAATTTACCAGAAATTATGGGTCCAACCAAAGTTTTAATCATTACTTTTCCATATGAATGGCTCATCTTGGCTCATGCTTCACAACTTCCTAAATCCTATCAAACAAGCAACAGCTAAGTGGACCCAGACCCACTAGCAGCAGCCAGCCTAGATTCACAAATTGGCTTCCTCTGGGGATCTCCAAGCCCAGAACAAGTAGCAGCCATCTCAATTGCTTTATAGGTCATGCAAGATGGCTCTAGGCAGAACTCAGGTGGGGCTGACCTTGTCTTGCACCACCCAAGAAAATCAGAGCTTGTGAACCCAGTGGATAGCTTCAGACCTTGTTAGAGCACCATCACCCTGCCACTGCACAGCTGATCCTCCGCAGAGGGCACAGGTTGGTGGTAAGTGGTCACAGTGAATTCTTGCAGCTGACTGGCCTGGGAAAATCCCTCCCATTGACCTTCCAACAGCAATCAAGCCTCAACTACAAGAGGAGGGTGTACTCAGCCCACATAAAGGGTGGACCTTGAGTACCCAGCTTGGGTAATAGGAGAGGCTGTGCCATTGGACCCTACAGGATACCTCCTACATTAGGCCACACTATCAAGTCCGGGAGTCAAAGCAATTCTCCCTAATACATAGAAACAAACACAGGGAGGCTGCCAAAATGAGGAGACAAAGAAACGTGGCCCAAATGAAAGAATAGATCAAAACTCTAGAAAAAGAACTAAACAAAATGGAGATAAGCAAGCTATCAGATGCAGAGTTGAAAACACTGGCTATAAGAATGCTCAAAGAACTCAGTGAGGACCTCAGTAGCATAAAGAAGATCCAGTCAGAAACAAAGGATATACTCATTGAAATAAAGAACAATTTACAGGGAAACAACAGTAGAGTGGATGAAGCTGAGAATCAAATCAATGATTTGGAACATAAGGAGGCCAAAAACAATGTCAGAACAACAAGAAGAAAAAAGAATCCAAAAAAATGAGAGTAGTGTAAGCAGACTCTGGGGCAATTTCAAGCATTCCAACATTTGCATTATAGGGGTGCCAGAAGGAGAAGAGAAAAAAACAAACAAACAAAAAAAAAAAAACAAGAAATTTAAACTCTATTTGGAAAAATAATGAAAGAACATGTCCCTAATTTGGTGAAGGAAACAGACATGCAAGTTCAGGAAACAAAGAGGGTCCCAAACAAGATGGATGCAAAGAGGCCCACTCCAAGACACATCATAGTTAAAATGCCAAAGTTTAATATAAAGAGAGAATTTTAAAAGCAGCAAGAGTAAAGCAATTAGTTACCTACAGGGGAATTCCCATAAGACTGTCAGTTAATTCTCAAAAGAAACTTTGCAGGCTAGAAGAGACTGGCAAAAAATATTCAAAGTCATGAAAAGCAGGGGCCTACAGCCAAGATTGCTCTACGCAGCTAAGATATCATTTAGAATCAGAGGGCAGATAAAGTGCTTCCCAGACAAGAAAAAACTGAAAGAGTTCATCATAACCAAACCATCATTATATGAAATGTTAAATGGATTTATTTAAGAAAAAGAAGATTAAAACTATGAACAATAAAATTATAAAAATACAAATCTATCAACAATTGAATCTAAAAAGCAAACTAAGCAAACAAGAAAGACAGAACCATGGATACAGAGAGCATTTTGATGGTTGGTGGGTGGGAGGGGGGCTTGGAGGAATGGGTGAAGACCTGAGAGGGTTAAAAAGTACAAATAAGCCCTGGCTGGTGTAGCTCAGTGGATTGAGTGCAGGCTGCGAACCAAAGCATCACAGGTTCGATTCCCAATCAGGGCACATGCCTGGGTTGCAGGTCACGGCTCCCAGCAACCGCACATTGATGTTTCTCTCTCTCTCTTTCTCCCTCCCTTCCTCTCTAAAGATAAATAAATAAAATCTTCTAAAAAAAAAGTACAAATAGATAATTACAGAATAGCCATGGGGATGTAAAGTGCAGTATAGAAAATGAAGTAGCTAAAGAACTTATAGCTTTTGCGTCTCGGCCGCCAACATGCCATCCAGACTGAGGAAGACCCGGAAACTTCGGGGCCACGTGAGCCACGGCCACGGCCGCATCGGCAAACACAGGAAGCACCCGGGAGGCCGAGGTAATGCTGGTGGCTTGCATCATCACAGGATCAACTTCGACAAATATCACCCAGGTTACTTTGGGAAAGTTGGTATGAGGCACTACCACTTAAAGAGGAACCAGAGCTTCTGCCCCACTGTCAACCTGGATAAACTATGGACCTTGGTCAGTGAGCAGACGTGGGTCAATGCTGCCAAAAACAAGACCGGAGCCGCTCCCATCATTGATGTGGTGCGATCGGGCTACTACAAAGTTCTGGGGAAGGGAAAGCTCCCAAAGCAGCCTGTCATTGTGAAGGCCAAATTCTTCAGCAGAAGAGCTGAGGAAAAGATTAAGAGTGTTGGTGGGGCTTGTGTGCTGGTAGCTTGAAGCCACATGGACGGGAAATCATTAAATGTTCACAAGTGCTTTTGTCTTCTGGTCTGGGTGTAGGTTCTTGGCACCCCTACCTGTGTGTCAGAAACCTGCAGGTTCTAAGAGTTAAAGGTGTGAGGGCCTGGGCTCCTCTGCCAACTCCCCTGAGAAAGAAAGTATGCAAGAGTTAGCACCAGCGCTTAGAGGCCTTGGTCTGTTACCTGACTTGAACTTCTCATTTATAAAGTGAAAATGATGGCTGTTGGTGGTGTGTGTGTGTGATAAATATAAAATAGTTGAAAGGTCAAAAAAAAGAACTTATATATATGACCCGTAGATATGAACAATGGTGTGGGGATTGCCTGAGGGAGAGGGGCTACTGAGTGGAGGGGGGCAAAGTGGGAAAAATCAGGACAACTGTACTACCATAATCAATAAAATATAATTAAAAAATAAAAACTTATGATAAACTCAAAAATAAAGAATTGCAGGCAAAGTGGTAGCTTTCTGCCCTCTCCTTATCTGCCTAAAAGCAGGGCATAAATTTCCCTTTGTAAAGGTGACATAAATTTCCTTGTGAAGATGTCCTCCTCCCCCATACCAAAAGGATGGAGATGATACCAAGGTGAATCTGTATAAACAACATTACTAAAGAACTCTTCTTTACCATTAATTTCCCCCGTATGTTTACCTTTCCACAATACACTGCCCACAGGAGCCTAAGCTGCTTTTCTTTGTGTAGTAACTTTTCCACAAGATAGTATTGACCTTTGTTAAAATAAATCCTCACGTTAAACCACTTTTTTGGGTTTCAGTTCTTTTCTTTGGAGACCCTGTTCAACTTTCTAAATCTTTGTGTAATTTTTCTTCTGTTAATTCGTCTACTACCAGTTTAATTCACAGGCCTCAGTTATTGAACCTAAAAAGGTAGAGAAAAAGATTTTTTTCCTTCCCCTACAACTTCATTCCTTTAAGTGTTCATATGATATGATGCATTTTGCAGTTTCAAAGTTGAAGGTAAGGTTGATTTATGCCCATTCATTTTTTTGATAAAACATATAAGTGTGTTTATTATCAGTTGTATTCAAGTTTGCACATACTATCTATGCTTAAAATACTGTAATGAAGCATTACTAATTACCTGGTGGGCACTTCCAGCAGTAAAGGCAAAGCTCCTACGGACAACTTAAAGGCTTTTGGAATGCTCAGCTTTCCTTTGGATATTGCATTTTTATGTCTCAATGATAGGAGAAATTATACTTTTTGATGACAGGTACTAACCAGGTAAAACAATGAAAACAGAAAAACCAAACCACTCAAGAATAAATGTGAGCAAATTAAAACCACAATAAGGTCAGAATGGCTGTCACCAATAAATCAACAAACAAGTACTGGTGAAAATGTGGAGAAAGGGAAACCTTTTGTACTGTTAGTGGGAATGCAGATTGGTACAGCCACTGTGGAAAGCAGTATTGAGAGACATCAAAAAATCAAAATGAAACTGCCTCTTGGTCCAGCAGTCACACTTCTGGGAACATACCCAAAGAAACACACAACACCAATTCAAAAGAACATAAGCACTCTTATGTTCTTTGCAGCTCCATTTATAATCGCCAATATATGGAAGCAGCCCAAACGTCCATCAGTAGATAAATGGATAAAACATCTATGGGACCTTTATGTGATGGAATACTACTTGGCCATAAAAAAGAAGTTTTGCCCTTGTGCCAGTATGGATGGACTTGGAGAACATTATGCTAAGCGAAATAAGCCCATCAGAGAAAGACAAATACCGTATGATTTCGCTCATATGTGGGGTATAATGAACAAACTAAATTAACAAGCAAAATAGAGACAGGCTCATAGATAGAGAACAGGCTGACAGCTCTCATGCAGAGTGGGCGTGCAGAGGGGTTGAGTAAAAGGGAAAAAGGACTCATGGACGTGGACAACAGTGTGGTGATTGCGGGGGGTGGGAGGACCAGTATAAGGGAGATAAATGGTAATGGAAAAAATATAAGTAAGAAAATTTTTAAAAAATAAGAATAAATGTGTTCAAAATTTCCAGACTTTTGATTCCACAGGGAATCATAATGACCACCATACATTGATCATCTATTAAATGCCAGATGCATTACTTGAGTTACTTCTTTTAACCACCACAACAACCCCATGAGACTATATATTGTATACATTTTTTTTCTATTTTTTTTCCTTTTTAAGAAGGGAGGGAGCTAGAGAGAGAGAAAGAGAGAGAAACATAAATGTGCGGTTGCTGGGGGTCATGGCCTGCAACCCAGGCATGTACCCTGCCTGGGAATTGAACCCGCAACACTTTGGTTTGCAGCCCCCGCTTAATCCACTGAGCCACGCCAGCCAGGGTATATTTTTTATGTTTTATTTTTATTTTTTATTGTTGTTCAAGTACAGTTTTTTCCATTTCCCCCCACACTCTCCCATGAGACTATATTTATTATCCCTAAAATGTTCAATTTCTCAACTCTGATACCTTTCTCATTTAAGCTGCCACATTCTTAAGATACTGAAAGGCCAGTTGACGCTGCTTTCCTTTATATGACCTCTTCATGCATAACAGGGGTCTGGAGTTTATACCAAAATCTCCTCTGAAGTCAATAAGCACATGCAAAATCAACAGACCTACTTCAACTAAACTAAAGAACAACTTTTACAGACCTCTACAGAGCTGCATATGCTTTCAAGGTAGACTCTTTAATAAATTGCATTCTTCATGACACAGAGAAATCTGATATTTGAAAAACAGGTATGTCTTTCTGTGGGAACTGCACATATCATTAGAAGTGCCCAATGTCCTCTTCTAAGCTAATACTGCCCTTCCTTTGGTCTGTGCTCAGGGAAATGACAGGCAGTATGGGGGAGTGAGCGCCATCCTTGCACAGGTGATCACTGACCCAAGGGCAATTAATCCACAGGGGGAGTTAGTGAATGTTCCCTGACTTAGCCCAGCACATGGAGATGAGCCAACTTCCCTCTCTTACTATTTTGAACTTATTCGAGTACTGAAAGATTTGGGCTGTTAACAAATAGAGATAAAGCTGAACTGAGGATCCAGTAGGATCGTGAAAAAGTCTAAGAAAGTAATAGGATGAAGTTAGAAGAAAAGGCAAGGCCTCAGCACAAAGGCCAAACCCAAAGTCCTGGGCTCGCACCCATAACCTGCCCCCGGAGGTTAAGGGATCAGAATATGCCATCTTAAAATGTACCACTTTGGCATGGAGGAAATTATTTTGAGCTGAGGATACAGACTCACACACACATACTTCCCAATCACCAGAGACCATAGACTCTTATCATCCCAGAGACAGCACTGAGAGGAATCGACATAGCAAACCTTACTAAATAACCCTAGGGTCCTTTTGCTTCCCCCTATATTTCCTTTCCCACAGTATGCCACCCCTGAGAGCCTAAACCCCTATTCCATCATTTTATCACAATTTTATTGCTTGTTGTTCTCCTGTTAAAGTGGTACATAAGCTCTCCCTACCCACCACCACCGGGTCTAGCCACCCCACTGAATTACCCATCACTGAATTTCTCCCACATGTATGCCTGCTGAACAGGTAAATAAACCCTCTTTTCTTTTCTTCCATTAATCAGTCTTTTGGTGGTTTAACTTGCAGTACCCCAGCCACTGAACCTAAGAGGATAAAGGAAAGACATTTTTTCCTCCCCTACAGCCGCAGTCTGAGACATCCTGGGCCCCAGCACAGAGAAATGGTAGTGGAGCCCTAACAAGACTTCTGTGGAAGGAACTAAGGAGCCCTGGGGGGTCTCTTCTACAAAAGCACTAATCGCACTCACAAGAACTCCACCCTCCTGTCCTAATCACCTCCCAAAGACCTCCTAACACCATCACCTTGGACTTTAGGTTTCAACATATGAATGGGGGGCGTTGGACAAATTCAGCCTGCAGCTTGAGGGAACCAGCAGGACTGGGTGGAGGGAATGTTGAATTGTGATGCAGTCTCAGCAGAATCAATCCCCCAGAAAGCTCTGGAGCTGGGATAGCTGTTTTGAACTGGCCCTAAATTGAAGCAAGGAGCCAGAATTTTGTATGTTATAGGATGCAGGCTGCCTCTAGGGAGGAGTTTAATCTTGGGGAAGGTGGCTGGCTCCCTTAGAGCAGCATTTCTTAACCTGAGCACTGCTGACATTCTGGGCTAGTTGGTTTTTTATTGTAGGACACTGCCCTGTGCACTGGAGGGTATTTAGCAACATTCCTGGCCTCTACCCACTAGATGCAATTGCACCCCACTCCTCAGTTGTGGCCATCAAAAATCTCTCCAGACATTGCCAAATATCCCCTGTGGGGCAAAATCACCCCCATTAAGAACCATTGCCTTAAGTCAAGGGCAATTCTTACTGACAGATTTAGCTGCACGCCATCAGCAGCCAATACTCCCAGTAGGTAAGGGAAGAGGGCCTAGGGAGTAGGGGGTAGAAATCTGAATGATACACCACAGCTTCCACTATAGTTATGATGACAAAATTACCCAACTGCAGACAGGGTCAGAGCTCCTACCTCCCAGTCCAGCGCTCTTCTCGCAGGAAAGTTACTTATAATTTATACACTTGAAAAGCAAGAATAACAGACTGGTTCAGAACATGACAGTGAGCTCAGGAAGGAGCTCGAGGAGAGGCATCAGAGCCTCTGAACTACTTTTAAAACTCATCAGCCAAGGGGAAAATTGAAAGGAGGCACAAGAACTTGCATTTCCAGAAATAGATGTGGGAAGAGGAACTGGGGATAAAAGAAGACCTGTTGGAATTCGGAGCATTCCTGCCTAGCAAAGCTCCCGTGCTGACTCTTCCCCACAGCCCTCCTGCCAGCCCTTCCCTGGAAGAAGTGCTCTGCTCACCCCATGAGTAGCCCAGCCCTCCACCCACCTCTCAGTCAAAACCCTGCAGCCCATCACTCACTCGCCTCCACCCTCTTTCTCATACCAGCCTTTTCAGCCTTGTCTGACCTACTGGTTCCTGCCTTCGGCTTCTCAGGGCCTAAGCACCCCGACTCCTGCAGGCTCCCACAGTGCAGAGCCACATTCCTCCGGGGCAGTCATGGAGTACAGAGGCCACATAATTGGGAGAAGACGGAGGAGGACACAGAGCCCCGTTCTTTCCTCCCCATCCCTTGAGAAGGATCTGGCTTCTCACCGCTGATGATACTGAATGAACCCCATCTCCCAAAATGTAGTGGAATCAAAAAAATTGCAGCAGAACTTTTT